CAACTACTTCAACCATTTTGTTGCAGTATGCTTTGAGATGAGTTATAGAGCATTGAGTTCTCGTATATTTGATAAATTCTGGCACTCTAAACTTTTTAGGAATGACAACGTTAGGCACCAAACACATCTCAGCAGCCTTTATAGGATAATATAGGTGAATTCCCTCAAATGCCCTCATTCTTTGTTCTAAAGCAATCAATTTGTTTAGTTCATCTTCTTTCACTACCTTGTTTTTATTAGATTGCTTTATTGTAAGGTCAATGATAGATGACATTCTTATGGGATATACTGGTTGAGCAAATTAGAAATACATAGCCTATTGAGACACCTCATTTGCCCCCAGATTCTGTGGATTTTCGAGCATAGGTTTAAGCTGAGCTGTAGATTTTGCTTCTTCTGGTTTAGATCTTTGGGCCTATTCAAGTAGGCTAGTAAGCTTTGTGACTTCTTCTCTAAGACTTTTCGTCTCTTTTCGGTGTTGGGCTTCTAACTAGGCTTTTTCTTCGTTTTCCATTTGTTTTTTTTTCATAATCAAATGTTATAAGCGTGTTTCGATGGGGGACCTATATTTCACCTGGAGTGCAATATTATGACAGGTCATAATTGTATGTTCAAACATACATGAAGATGAATACAACATATTGGATATGGATTTGCCTTTTGGGGGGTGACATAATGATCGCTATTTTTTTAAATGTATGGTTAGATTCGAATCTGATATTCATTGCAATGCCGAGAGGAGATCTGTTTAGCTTTTTGTCATCTGAGCTTTTAGCCACATTCTTGGTGTCTTTCACTAAGCATCTAATATCTTTGAGTAACGGTATCTCACCGACATCTAGTCTAAAGCAGTCTCCCTTGGTCATTTGCAAGAATTCAAACTAGAGTCCATGCTCAATAATTGTTGTCTTAGGAATAGCAGTCATTATGTCACCCAAAAGCCTTGAAATAATGATGCTTACACGTTTAAGTTTTATCTTAGTAAAGTTATGCAGGAATCAGCCTAAAGGATAGGTTTTAATCATTAAATGTTTCAAGTTAATTTTGCTATCTAGTCTCAAAGGTCTTTCGCATGCTCAGTGATCACCCTCAAAAGGTTGATATCAGGTTTACAAGCAGTATGAAGATAGAGGCCCTGAGTAATATCAGTTCGGCATATCAACCACTATCGAGCAAACAATCATGCGAGAGTTGGATAGTTTCACGAGCCTTACCCAGGCTAAAGCCATTGGGGTGCCGTTACTCCTCCACTTATCTTAAAGTTGATACCACATGTAAAAAATGAGATAAGTGATGTGTGAAGACCTTAGATCCGTATCCAATATATATGCATGATAAACATGAATAACTATACATGTTAAAACAAATAAAAAAAAAAAAAAACGGTACGACAAAAAATACATGTTAAAACAAATAAAAAAAAAAGCAAAAAACGGTACGACAAAAAGTGTTTAGCAATAAAAAAGACAAATAGCAAAGCTTAGTCCTAAAGTCCCCAGTGGAGTCGCCATTCTGTCGCACCCGACATCGCGGCGGCCTTAAAAATATAATTCATGGAATGGAACGGATTTCCGGCATCCAGTTCTTTGATGGGGAATGATCTTGTTTAAGGAGTCGCCACCTAGTATTATGGTTACTAGGAACCCTAACTGGTCAACAGAGATTCTAATGGTCCGAGACTGGTTACGTAAAAAGGAAGATATTATCACCCCTTAAACGTCCTACCTAAGGCCGGCTGCATTGCTGATCTTTATCTTTAATTGCTAATATTTTGTTTTGTTTGGTTTATACTATGATGGTTTTGGGGGTAATATTCCTAACTCTGGCATCAGTGCATATTTAACTATAGATATTTCCAACTCTAGCGCTGGTAAATATCACGTAGCTATAAAAATAAAATAAATTTAAATCAGTTATTTTTTTATTCCCGACTCTGGCGTCAGTGAATAAACAAATCAAATAAATTTATTTTTACGCATCAAATAAAATTATTTTTACGCATTACAAAAAAAAAAAAATTTAGTATTTTTATTC